AATAATAAATAAATAATGAATCATAAATGATCTCCAACCCAACCTTGACAATCTGACAGGTCCTTGATGAAAACTTATACTTGCTTACAGACAACCCCACAATCTAAAGGAACTATTGCCACATGAGTTATACAACACTGATGCAACAATGGGGATTATACTTTTCTTAGAAACCCAGATTCCAGATCTGCCATTTACTTTTGCAACACAATAATACAACCCAGCAATGTCACCTGCAACTTCAAGGGTGCTTTTACTTGTTCCTTTGTTAATGTGATCTATGCCATTTTTTTTTCCAACAATGGACTCTAACATATGACAAACAGGGCAGTCTCTGTTCAAAAGAATTAATGGATATAATTAGGACATCAGAAATTGCACTACAGTACATAGAAACTTGTCTCGGATTACTTCAGTCTACTAGCACCCTTCACAATATATCAAAACTGCTATTCTGAAGAAGAAAAATTACAGAAGAACCTACAACAGTACTCAAAGAATCCAGAGGGAAATAGCTGAGGTGAATAATATACACATGCTGGACACACATCTCAGTGTGCAAATGCTTCTTAAGTCTTTACCAAATCTGATAACTTTATGTGTTGTCACCTATGGTTATTTTCCTTTGAGGCTTGTCCTGAAGGACTGACCTTTCAGGATAGGGCTCAAAGGTAAAGTCTGTCATTCTCTACATTGCCACATGTTGTTTCTGCTGGTTATTTTTCCTTTTAATCATTGTTGCTATTTACAGACTCAAGTTTCCAAAGAACTACCGGTAAATACTAAAACAGGGGTCTTAAATTTTTACAAGGTGTGAAATGCACCCAAACATCATTGTCTAATATAGAGACTTGCATGAATAATTTACCATGAATTGTCTATATTCTGACTCTTATGTCTGAAGAAGTGACCAAATTATTAAAAATTAAAAACAATAAACATTCAAATAGTAAGAAAGTATCAAATCAGTACCATGGTAAAAACAGTAAAGAAAATCAACCACCAAAAGCAGATTAAAAGCAACGAAGCACAACAGTCCATTGAAAAATCCCTCTCAGGCAGCCAATCATTAAGGGAAAGCCTGCCAGAAGGGAAAGGTCATTGTCTGCTTGTAGAAGGACAGCAAAGATGGACCCAGCCTGACCTCCTCTGGGTGGGAGTTCCAGAGTCTGGATGCAGAAACAGGGAAGATTTCCATATCACCAACAAGTGTGCCTGAGAAAGGGGTGGTACTGAAAGAAAGGCCTCCACTGATGATCTAAATGCCCGGGACAAGCTAATCAAGGTATATATAGTTCCAGAAATAGCTTGGCCCAAAGCCATTTAAGACTTTATAGATATTTATAGTAAAATAAATTATGAAGTTCAGCCTTATTCACTCCCACTTAAACATACACATAAGGAGGGAAATATAGGGATGTGTGGAATTTCAAGCATATCCTTTACTCATGGAATTCACTGCCCGGACAGACTCATCAAGGTAGACATAGCCAAGGAGATAGCTTGGCCCCCAAGCCATTTAAGATTTTATGGATTAAAGCCAGCACTTTGAATTGTGCCCGAAACATGGTTACATGATTCCAGCAAGCAGTCTCGGTTTAATCATCTGGCTGTAGCATTCTCGACTCCCTGAAGTTTCCAAACCCTTTTTGAAGGCAGTCCCACATGGAATGTGCTCCAGTGATCCACCCAGGATGTGTCGCCATTCCCTGATCAGATCCCTCCAGCAATGGGTGCAGCTGGCACACAGCTGGAAAGAGCCATATCTTGTAACAGATGGCTGCTGAACCTGAGGGTATTTTTTAAGGTACCAAACAACAGAGATACACAGTACCTATGTGCACATTCATGTGCACATGCACATACAGTACGTACACACATATATCAAGGTGCCAAATCAAAGTGCCCCCAACTCCCTAACCTTTCAATGTACAAATATTTTCCCCAGGAAAAATGTATCTAATTTCTGTCCTAGGAAGAGCTGCTATCTACCACACACAAGTAGTATGAGACCGGGCAACAGACAGCTGTTTCAACAGTATTTAATTTACTTGGGAGAAGAAAGAGAGTTTGAAAAATCAGCATCTGAGGCAATGCCAAGACTGCTAAACAAGATGGATGTGAAAGAATTCAAGGTTGTGCCCTAAAAGTTTTTTTTCTTCTGGCAAGATAGATTATCAAGAACAAAATGAGAGGCCATCAACTACTGATTAATTCAGTGCTTGTCCCTTTTACTCTCACCCTTATCCATGAGTTGCTTGGCGCTTTGTCTTTCGAATATTCCCTCTATAGAAACCGGCCAGGCTGCCAAACTGCACACAGACCTGTAAATCAGGGTTGTAACAAATCGCCTCTTCTTAGAACCGATTCTAAATATTCAGTATAGGCCCCAAGTAAAAAATGTGGCTTCCGTGTGTGTGTGTGTGTGTGTGTGACATCTTCCTTGAGTTTCACATTCTGTGGAATTTACAGTCGTGGGAGTATACAGTTCTCTGAGTATTCAGAAGATTGTCCGATTTAGCGTCTAACTTTCCTTTCCAAAGCCAAATGCTGGTCCAGACTCTGAGCAGAGTGCCATCCCATCTCTTCCCTGCTCTCTTCCCCCAAGACCACCTCCTCTACTCCTGGTTTCTTTCCCTCCCAGCAGTGTCATTTGGCCCTTTGGGTTGTGTCAGCCTTATATCTCCTCTCTATAGACGTGCACTGCACTGTTTCCACTTTCTCTCTCTCTTTCTCTTCTGTTGGACATTCACCATCCCTGATCTAGGCATGAATTTCCCTTTGTTTTTCTGAATGAGATCTCTTGTTTTCTTGTTTTTTAGTCTTCCTTTTTGTCTTTCTTTTAAAATTTTAAGTGTTTCTTCTTTCATCCATTTAGGCCCTTCTTTTTGTTTTACTACATGAATTGTCTTTTTGCATGCCTCCCTAATAATAGCCCTGGTATCAATCCACATTTCTCCTGGTGATGTTTAGGAATACAAATTGCATGCAAGTTGAGTTTAGAGATGCAAATTTGCCTTTAAATGTATTTACATTCTTCAGGAATATTGTTTAAATTATATTTTGACACTATTAGTAGTCAGCTTTACTCTAATATTAGATACGAAACAGTTCATGATCAGTACAACAATCTGCTCCTGATCTTGTTTTGGTAGAGAGAATACAGCTTCTCCATCTCATTCTTCCATTTATGGTCTCTATTTGAGTTCTCTATTGACCATCTGATGGTTTCCACTTCCACAGCCATCTCTTTGGTTGTGTGAAGCCTGTACTTACAATAAACATAAGGTTGGATTCACAGAAATATAAGAATCGTCCCCTTAATTCATTTCTGTCCCCTAGGCTAATTTTTATTTATTTTACTCTTTAAAGTTTACCCCACCTATCTAGTGGCCAGACCACAATTCTCTGCAGCTTACACAAACCAAGATTCAATAATAAGCAATAATAAGAAAATTTTCAAACTACATTTCGTACTACTTTGCTCCCTATTTGGCGTTTCAGTCACATACGATTGTAAGTCTTTTTTTGATGTGTGGTCAATTTCCTTTTAAATGTTTGCATAAAAGCTTTTATTTTGTCTTCTTAATTGGCAGTGGCATGCTAGAGGTTAAGCATGGCACAAATAAATGTGGGGAATTGCATTAGTCTATTTAAACAATACAGACACAATAAAATGTGAAAAATTGAACAGCCCATTGGAAGCTGACCATCAGTGACCTGAAATATAAGCTCTTTCTCCTCCTCACACCCCCAACCCCATCCCCACTAGCTAATTGTAATTATCTGAAAAGGTCATTTGTATTGGGATAAGTCCCCAATGCATGCTATGCTCTTTCACTAAAAAATCACCCAAAATCATCTCCCCGAATCAAGCCAAAAGAAATATCTCAAAACCTGCAAAAAGAATGGCAGCAAAGGACATACAAATCGCTTCCCCTGTCGATGTGAGGCTGCTGTACAAGGAGAGACTCTTCGTGACCCCATGGACCAGAGCACGCCAGGCCCTCCTGTCTTCTACTGCCTCCCGGAGTTGTGTCAGGTTCATGTTGGTTGCTTCGCAGACACTGTCCAGCCATCTCATCCTCGGTCGTCCCCTTCTCCTCTTGCCATCACACCTTCCTAACATCAAGGCTTTTTCCAAGGACTCTTTTCTTCTCATGACATGGCCATTTCCATACTTTTTTTATTGGATACATTTGTAATTTTCCTTTTTTTTTCTGCTGCTATAAATGACTTCCTTGTTTAAGCGGTCCCAGAAAACACTATCCTGTCTGGTAGATTTGTTGACACTTTTTTCCTGAGAGATAATCCAACCCATTTTAGGGATGAGAAACGCAAACTTCTCATTTCTAGTTGTAGAGACATTTTCTAAGCTGAGAAGGGAAATGACACTCTACAGTCTTGTCAATACTGCATCAAGTCAAAAGAAGAATATTTTTGTAGTAACTTTACTGCAAATGAGTTGTGTTGATTGGGAAGTAAGGATGTGATTACGGGGGTGGGGGCACAGTTTGCTCTGCTGTGATTTACACCCATGGAAATTCAGTTTTTCTGGATGAAACCTCTGTAGTCTTCCAGACAGTTTTCAGCCAGGGGCAGGTTGCATTCAGCTCCAACACTAAAGGTTGCCTTAAAGTGCTCACAAGAGATAATTGGCCATTACCACCACCACCAATCTCACTTTCTCTTGTCCTGTAGCCCTCATGATAGTGTGGTTCAGTCCTGAGTGAAATCCGTTTATTCCCATATTTTTTAAGGAAACAGTTTGGACACAGTGGGTATTTGGTTGAGGGAAACTTACACTCGTGTGAGCACCCCTTTGCACTGAATCAGGCAATCACAGTGTCAGCAAGCAGACAAAAGGGATGATAAACAGATGAGACCAATCCTCACCAAATTTAGTCTCATAGGTAATCAAGCAATAGTCCAAATAGGACTTGAATTTTTTTTTTTACATCCCACACTTACCTTCATGCTTGTGTCTTTTTCTTCCTAAGCCTATTGGGAAAAGCCTTTCAATTCTCAGGCAACTCGTGAAGCTGATTTCTTCGTGGATAAGAAGACAACGGTAAAGGTTCCTATGATGCGCAAAACGTCATATTTCAAGACTTACCGTGATGCAGATCTGTCCTGCGAGGTGGTGGAGCTTCCTTACAAGGGTGGTGCCTCGGCCCTCTTCATCCTTCCTGATCAAGGGAAATTGAAACATGTGGAACAGGCTCTGGGAGAAGACCGTCTGTTCAAATGGTTGAACTCATTGCGAGGAAGGTGAGCAAGTCTTCTGTAACAGATCAAAGGCTAGACCTCAACTAATGAGACAAGTCCTGAACCCAACGGTCTAATGACCACCACACATGGCAGTGCTTTCTAACTACAGTACTTGCACAGAAAGGTTTGGTCTCTGCATTGGCTTTTGCATAGCCTGTATATATTATATTAGAATGACTCCTTATCACTCTCTGACCTTTCTTTCCACAGGAGAGTAGAACTATTCCTTCCAAGGTTCTCAATATCTGGTAGCTATGATATTAAGAATACATTGCAAAAGATGGGGATCACTGATGTATTCGATGACCGTGCAGATTTATCTGGAATGACTGGGAAACCTAACCTGAAGGTTTCCAAGGTATGCTCCCCTGAATTTATCATGTAAAATATATCAACCCAAAGATTTTGTGTTCACTTGCTTTCCAGTTGACAAAGAATTGAATTATAAAGAACTATAATGATGATAATGGAGCAGAGTACTTGCATCTCTTGCTGAGAACTCCTTTACATGAGAAGATATTCTTCATGTGGGGGGGAAGTGAACCCTTCTTACTTTAGCCCTCCTTTGGTAATGCAACCCCCAGATAGCCAGAAAATCTGAAAAATGTCCCTCAGCCCCACTGCAGAGGTGAATGTCATTTTTTGTTGGTTTGGGTTCTCAACAAAATGTAAGACTACAAATGAATGTCAGTTATGGTGCCTGGATATCATGTCAAACAACAGAGGTAAGAAGATTCTGTAGACTAGCTGTTTGAGAATGTGAGATGGAGGGACCTGCTCCACTCATGTCCAGCAGGCAGGTTTCCCCTAAATAAGGGGCAATCAATGGCTTTAAACAAGGTACTAGACTAGAAAGCCCTTTGATCTAGCCTAACTCTTATCTTCTTACACTGAGAGTAATATCAATGGATCATGGGACAAATGACAAGGAAAGAAACTCTCATTCTGTTCCGAGTATACCTGCTATACTTTGAACGTGTGTACAGAAACATGTACTAGCAGAAATGTTTTAAGCTGATTCAAGAAAGAATGAGGCTCCCTTGGGAGAACTGGTGGAAACTTAACAAAATTCAGTGCTCTTCCTTTAACTCTGGATGCAAAACTTAAGACAGGACATACTTACGGTAGTTTAGAAAAATACTTTGTATTTACATATATAACTTATAACAGCTTATCTTCAGCATAACAGCTTAACATAACAGCATAACATGATAACATAACAGCATATCCATATACAGTAACTGGTTACTCACAACCTAGTACAGTGGTGCCTCGCAAGACGAATTTAATTCGTTCCACCATTAATGTTGTCTCGCGAAAAATTTGTCTTGCGAAATGCGTTTTCCCATAGGAATGCATTGAAATCTTATTAATGCATACCTATGGGCAAGCAAAGTCAGAACAAAGTCAAATTTGGTTTACAAAGGGTTTATTAAGTTTTCTTTAAAGCCATACGTATTGTGCAGATGATTCCAAAATTTCCAATAAAAAAACTTTATAACTTTTTAAACATCATAGAAATCATTTAAAAATCATCAAACATGAGGCAAAAAATGGAAAACATTCTTCTTGCGAAGCATGGTCATAGGAACATTTGTCTTGCGAGTCATCAACCCCTACTACCAAAACCATTTGTCTTGCGAGTTTATTGTCCTGCGAGGCATTTGTCTTGCGAGGCACCACTGTACAATACATCAGCATGACCGATCCTATACCAGAGCAACCTGACTGCTCCTGAACCAGAGCAGTAAAGTAATGCTTTCACAGAGATACCTTTATATAGAGAAAAAGCCTCTGTAATAGGCTTACATGTTTTACTTACATTAGTACATCTCATATATTCAAGATTTTTATTTACAATATAGTGACCTGTTCCATTACAAACACCTTGACACATTAAATATTGCAAACCTACATTGAAGCACTGCAAATGAGCTACAAAATAAAATCCTAGACCAAGTAAATATTAATCCTTGGTTTCTTTCCTCTCAGACCCACTTAGTATTGGTTTGGGTCCTCAACAACAGGTAGGCCCACAAATGGCTGACAATCGTGGTGCTTGGAGAGCAGAGAAAAGAAGATTCTGTAGACCAGTTGCTTTGGGAATGTGAGATGGCCGGAGGGACTCCATTCGTTTCCAGCTGGCAAGTTTCCCAAAGTTACTGGTAGCCACTAGCTTTACATAAAGTGGTGGACTAGAGATACCTTTACCTTGATCCAATCTAACTCTTATTTTCTTATGTTGGGCAATTAATATCAATAGATCATGGGACATATGACAAGGAAACAAAAGCTCAGAAAACATTACATACCTACATTGTGAAGCACCACAAATAAACTATATAATAAAATTTTGGAAAATGTCAATACTAATTATTGCTTTCTCTCCTTGTAGGCTATTCACAAAACTTACCTAAATGTCCACGAGAATGGCACTGAAGCTGCAGCAACCAACCTGATGGAAATAAGACTCACTTCCGCTCCCCTTGTAATCAGATTCAACAGGCCCTTTTTCTTATCAATCACTATAGACAGGAATATATTATTTCTAGGCGGAGTTCAAGATCCAAACAAAAATTAACACCCAAAGGCATGTTTTTGTAGCGCTGCACAAATGTAAGCTGTGTGTGAAAAGGTGCCCAGGTGCCTTTTAGTTTGTACAAATTCTCCACATTACTGGTCTGAGAGAAATAAACCATTGCCATCATCACAAATGTAAGAATTTGTTATTTCATTCTCATGACCAGATGTTCTAACCTAATGATTGGTGACAATTGCACGTAACAAGTTTCTTATTTAAAAGTATCTCTTAAACATTAGGAAATGCCTGTTTGATTTATGTAATTGTTAGAGGAAAAACAAGACTGAATGCACTGAACATAATAGACAGGAATCAATGTAGGGTCCTAATATGCACCTGAAAGAACACATTGTCACTTGTCCTCAAAAGCAGTCGTTCATCTCACTCTTGGTCAGAGACATCAATTCATGTAGAGCCTTCTAAATCCTCAGTATATATACATATATAATTAACTGAGGCAGTCTAAATTTCAGAGGACAAGTAATTTCATAAGTATTTTTCCGATCCCTCTTTTGGGGAAAGCTGGGCATAACTGGGTTTTAGGCAATTAGAGTAGGGCCAACAAAAAGACCAACAAACTCCACAGCAATTGACTGAGGCAGGGGGTCTTCCAAGCATCCTTATGCAGGAGTATAATGTATGAATCATCTCTACCTCAGATATCAGCCATATGTTTGCAGCTTGAGACCATCTGGCTTCCCCACATTTAGGGAGAACATTCTAGCTCATGACTCTTTTGCACATAGCACCGTGATGTTTAAGGATGGACCCTTAGCAAACCTCAAAGAATGGGTCTTTTCTTGATCTTTGTCCTCTTAATTAAGGGAAATCAAGGTAGCTAGATTTGTAAACAACCCCTTCAAAACCATCTCTCTGTCAGGGCCTTTTATAAGTGGGTGTGCACAGTGATACTGGTTAGACTGGAAACCTCTTTGGAAGAAGAGGGGCTGCTGTGGATTCCAGACATCCAGAACAGAAATAAAAAACTGGCAGTGGGGGGAGGGAGTAAATAAATAGGGCTCTGTATCTTGGAGTATTGAATGAACATTGATGACATGGCAACTGACACGGAAATATAGCCACAAATAATCCCATTCAACATGTAGGTATGGCAACAGATAGTGTAGTCAGTGAGATATTAGGCATGGATATTGTCCAGGAAAAGAACCAGTTAAGGCAGAAAATCCTATTGAGAAATCACCTCCCTCTTGCTGTTATTATCCTTCTAACATCTCCTAGAAATCAGGAGAGCTGAGGGCTGAGACTTATTAGATATTCTCTGAATAGAACACACACACCCAGATGTAACCAGCATTTAGCCCTCTGGGTCTTTTAGTCATTGTATTGTCCTTTGATATTTCACTGTGCATTGGAACAGTCAGACCATCAGAAACTATTTACCAAGTTTACAAGGCCACCAGAAGGGTTAGGAGGAGGCTTCACTGCTTGATAAGGCAAATACCAAACAAGGCCAAGGTGGGACATCTTTCCTGGTGCCAGGCCGCTCCAGCTCAGATTGGACAAGAAGGCTCAAATCAAAGGGTCGGTAGATTGGAGGGTAAGTTGCAAAGAATGTTAACACCAGCCTTCAAACAGCAGGCTGCTTA